GCAGCTAATGCTTCAAAAATTGTACAGATTTTCTTGAAATATATATATAATCATCATCATCTTTGCAATAAAGGATTAATATTTTCATATTATTGGAGACAAGATGATCTGTATGCTGTGTTATATGTATTAATATATGCAAATATTTTTTTAAAAAAAAAGATATGTGGGGATAAGGTAGTTGGTATTATTAATAAGTTTCAATATGTGTCAAGGTGGATGACCTTATAATGTCTTCTAATTTTGTACTATTACTTTGTAATTTAGGGCCAAAAATTAAAATGGCATCTCAATATGGGTATTGTTTTGCTCTGCACGTAGTGTTGTATCTTTTTAAATAAAATCCTTTCTCTTGTCAGATACTTAAAAAAATACTAATATTTACTTAAAATTCATTATTTCACAATTACCGTATTGAAAATTGACAACATTTATGTAATTAAATATATTATTTATATATATAATATAATTTTTTTTAACAAATCGATATCAATTAAATAAAACAGATACAGAAAATCACATTTTTTTTTATAAGATTACCTTTAACGTGCTGCCATGCATGAGTTTGACAAAATCATCTAGGATTGAATGTGTGTGTATAAATATATAATTGTTTTATTAGTTTCTTATTTGCGTGATTATTTTTTCATATTTGAATTTTCTTAAAAGTAAACTCTGATTTCGTCATTACTTATATGAATCATTTCGTTCATTCACCATATAATTTAAAATTCATATTTATGACTCCATTGAGTCGGTGTTAATTATTTTGAGACATCTATGATAGATATTTGACAAGTACTTTTTATCTTAATTATCATCCTCTATATATTAAAATGAAAAAATTGGGTAAGATCCACCGAAGTGGGTAGCCTTAACCGGATGTGTCTGATAACAGGTAAAGCCCGAAGGCCGTTCCCGTCCCTGTCGGGGGAGATGCCAACCATCTCTCCTTTCTACGAACACAGTCTTACACCAAGCTATCAATTCATATAAACACAAAAAAAGTTTCATATATTGGCGATGTGGGACAATTTGGTAGACTTTTCTCAATGTCTTTAGCAACTTTAAGCTAGAAAAAAAAAACAAGATATTAAAAGATATCATTGACTAATGAGTAACTTTTAAATCAGAGATTTTAATATTACCAATACAATATACATTTACTGCTTGTATCAAACAAGTTTAGTCTAGCATGTTGGACACACTTACTCTTTATTAGTGTTACGAATTTAGAGTTTGAAGTTATATAACGATCTTAAGTTAATATATATCCTCCTTTTCTCAATAAAAATATTTAATGAATTGTTAATACATATACATAGTTTAAACAAAAGCTATTAAATTCATGTGAATCGTCATGTACCGTGGATCCACCCCTAGTAATAGGTCCCCTATCATTACAAAGTGGAGTTTGGGAAAGGTAAAGTGTACGCATTCCGAGGTTGTTTTTAAGTCATTCAAAATTAATCAAACGCCATCTTATCTTTGATTACAAAATTACATCTCTTCAAAGTATGAAAGACTGACCACAACGATAGAATTGCAATGAAGCAAATGCTAGCCATTGTATCCATCAAATTCATCCAAACCTTGAGGTACCAAAGGTTTGTAAATCGTTGCAAAATAGTTTCTTCTCATCGATAAATTCATGATAACAATAATTTATTTTAACAGATACGGAATTTAAGCAAATACCGATTCTTTCGTGGCAAGGCTGCCATGCTATCAATCACTCTTTCCTTCTTGGGCACCAAGTTCTTGCAAATAATGCTCTGCATCCAACGCGGCCATGCATCCTGCAAAACAAGTTTTTTCAAAGAGATCACTAACTTTTATACCTGAAATCAATCAATATTAAGACAGTTCTAGAAAGGATATCAACACACACATACAGACTAACAATAGACCATATATGATCATTGTCGTAAACTGACACTAGATCTGAAATTTGCATAAACAGCATATTGCATGCATTCAGTATAAAGCTTACCCCTTGAAAACTACTCTCTTCAAAACATGTGTCGAAATACTGGTTAATTCAGGGAGTTGAGAAACGTGCATTGTTGAATGTTTGTGAGATAAATCATTGACTTAAAACCAGCTAGAGATCAGTAATATAATGGAGATTCACATTCTCCACCAAATCAAAATAGTAAAGCGACTCATTGTGTCAGAAAGAACAACAGCCCACTTATGAAGCCCGTCGCATATAAATGTTAACAGTTCAAAATTGGTTAATGTAATACTCCTTACAGGATCGACACTGATCAATAGTTTTGGAAGTCGGGGTTAGCACTGAAAGGTGCCAACATAACAAATGCACTGCTTGACATTTGTTGACTTGGCATATAAACCTCCTATAAGTATAATGATATCAAAAGATTATAGAATCAAATGAAGGTCACTGTTTTTAGATTTCAAAAAGTGCAGAACTGTGTTATGAAAGGTGTATAACCAATTTATTTTATATTTGAGTTGTATAATATTGGACCGGAAGAAATGATTAAAGTTTCCACTTTAGATGGAAAGAAAATTCTTTTCCATGGGACAACTATGACAGGAGATTATAGTAGCACTAGCCAAAACAAGAAATCAGTTCACTAGAAATAATTGTTGGAAAAATATATGTTGGCTGATCATTATATTGTGGTCCATGCTGGTATTTAAAAAAAGGAAAAAGTCCAATGCACAAAGCATCCTACATCACGGTCCAGAGAAGGGACGCACTCCAAGGAATGTGATGTACTGTAGGCAGCTTATCCCGATACAATCATCATTAGTTGATTCCATGGGTCGAACCCGTGATAGGGTCATATGGAGACAACTTAACCATGGTCCAGGCTAGTACACTAAGAAAAATTGGCAAGCAACTTCCTATCAAATACTTTTACCTCCAGAAACTCTCAAGCTCATTGAAACAATTTTCCAGAGAACTATTGCTCAAAGATATATCAATGCACTACACTATTCCCTTGAGGTGAAAAACATTATACCTATCTCAGGAAGTTGCTTTCTGCTCAAGCAATCCTTACAAGATACCATCATAATGGACTACAGAAGTATCTTTTTTATTAATATCAAGGGCTACAAATTTATTGTTTATTAAGGGTTGTTTTTCCATTTCTCTTTAATTGGAAGTGATTTTTCACTAATTGTCCAGCAAAATCTTGGGAAAAAGCCAAACCATAATCAAGTGACTTTGCAAAAAAAAGAAATGAAGAGAAAAGCTCTTCCACAACACTTCCAAAGGACATACTAATTCTTATAAACAATGCATAAAGAAAATTTCTGGTTATACCAGGAGCAGCAGGATGCTTCATTTCCTCTTAATCAACTTCCATTTGTATTCATTATGTATTTTTTTGCTACTCCTATATGATATCCTTCTTCTCATTCTCTCTTAAATGGCATTGAGCCTTGAGAAGTTTCATTTACTAAGCTATAAGCAGAATAGATCTTTACCCTGATCAACATTTTGAACCACTACACATTTGCTAAATAGGAACCTCACTTCTTTTATTACATACATCTATGATTCTCCTGGAAGTCAGTATCGACACTTGACGCTACTAATTGAATAGTTTTTGAGAATCTCCTATTTTCAAACTTTGATAACCTAATTCTCATTCAATAGAGCCAGCCAACCTTCCCTAAAAAGTAGAGATAGGTAATCAATTAACAAAAAATGCAGGGTGCTACTTCTGTAGCTGCTATGAGGAATGCTTCCTTTGAAGCACTTTCTTAATATGATAGAAAGTGCCTCCTTATTCTCAGCATCTATCAAGGTCGTGTATCATAAAATCCTTGTACACTTGTTATCAAAGCAGCATGCTTTAAAACATATTGATGCTTTACTTCTAGCTCAGAAAATAAAAGGGTCAAATTGCTAATATTAGTTCTGTATTTCCAAGAAGGACAAAGTATTATCCAATCCTTAACAGTCAAAACTATAGACAATCACCAAACTAGAGTGAATTTTAATTAACTTCAAAAAAACTGGATTTTGGATTATTTATATGACTTCGCATCCATCTATGTGCTAATAGCCCAAGATTCAGACGGGCTTCAATTGAGGCTTAGTTTTCTTGTTGAAATGGGGATTCTTCAGCACTGTTGTATTTTCAACTCAATGACATTCATCAGACACAACCAATAGAGAAGCAGTAGCTATGCTCAATGAAGCAAACTAACAAAGAGCAAACAGCAAAGTAAAATTAGGAACACTACCTGAACCAGCAGCAGTGATGGCTTGCCGGTACTTCTTATCTTGCACATCACCAGCAGCGAATACACCTCTAATGCTAGTCTTTGTCGTCCCTGGCACGGTTGCAACATATCTCTCAGCATCCAACTGCAGTTGTCCATCCAAAAATTTGGTAGCTGGTTCATGCCCAATAGCAAAGAACAAACCCGAAACCTCCAAATCTGATACCTCTCCAGTAACCACATTTTCCACCTTTAATCCCCCCAAAGACTTCTCCCCATATGCCTCCACCACAGCAGAATTCCAAATCACCTCTATCTTAGGGTTACTCAATGCCCTATTTCGCATAATCTTCGAAGCCCTAAATTCATCTCTTCTATGAATTATATACACTTTTGAACCATATTTCGTCAGAAATGTAGCTTCTTCCATTGCTGAATCTCCACCGCCGATCACCGCCAAAGGCTTGTTACGGAAGATCGGAGCTGCGCCGTCACACACAGCGCAAGCCGAGATCCCGCGATTCCAATATCCATTTGCCCCGTCGCCGGATCCTGGAAATTCAAGCCGCTTGGCAACAGCACCAGTAGCGATAATAACAGTATCTGCTAGTACAGTCCTTTCATCGGACATGACCTTGAAAGGACTAGCGGAGAAATCAACGTTACTTACAGTTTCAGTGAAGATCTGTGTACCGAATCGAACAGATTGAGCACGGCACCGGTCCATGAGTTCACCACCGGCAAGTCCTTCCGGGAAACCGGGGAAATTCTCGACCTCGGAGGTGGTTGTGAGCTGCCCACCTGGCGCGATATCATTGGCCATCCATCCTTCAAAAAGGATCGGTTTTAGCTCGGCGCGTGCTGCGTAAATGGCGGCGGTGTGAGCTGCCGGTCCACTTCCGATGATGCAGACTTTGGTCTTCTGTATGTCCGCCATAGATGTTATGTTAGCGACCCGGTAATAATGGTGGTTGGTGGCGGCGACGACGACGGCGACGGCGGAGAGTTGATATTGTTATTGGGCTTTCTGGAGTGGATCTTTATGACATGTGACCAATAGTTACGGGTCACTTTGTTTCAAAATGGGTCGGATTTTGGCGGGTTTGG